TTGTTGTTTGTTTTATTGACTTGTCAAAATTTATATCATATAATATAAGTATAATGACATTATTCGATTTGTGTTTGTTGCAATTATCATAGTTGTTCAAGTTGATCCAATAAACAAAAAATTATTATTTGGCAATAATTATTTTAAGAAATTGTTGTTTAATTAAAAACAATCACACAATTTAATTAAATTAATTATATTTTAAGACTTTTATTATTTCATTATAGTTAAATAATATAAAAACCTATAATTATTAAGAATCAACGATAATTCAATTCAAAAGAAAAAAATTATTATAATAAGTAATTGAATTGTGCTTATGGTGGGTTTGGTTTAAATAGTTTTAAATAAATATATAATTAACAATTTATAATTAAATAACATTTATTGATGTTATTGTCAAAATATTTAATTAATAAAACAATAGTCTTAAAAAATAAAACATGTGATAAATTACTCAATAACAGAATCCTCAATCCATAAAAGTTATAGTTAATAATTCTATTTATTTTAATAATTTTTATTATCTTTCTTTCATTTTTATTTACAATTCAAATTTATTCTGTGTTTTTCCCAATATTTTACTTTGAACAATCTTATTATAATAAATGTTTAGTATAAAAGAATTTTTACTTTCTTATAAATAGCATTAAGAATAATTATCCCGTTTTTTATATAAAACATAAGCTGTGTTAAAAGCAATAGTGGGTTCTGTTCTAAATGTATTTTGGTTCACGATTGACCATTTCCCTGTTAAGTTTTTTGTTAATTCCCAAAACTGCATTACAATTTTAAAATTTAAGCAATTACAGTAGGGGGAGTGAGGGGCTTGACGATACTGAGGGGCTTGACCTATACTTTTAATGGTTTATTTACTATATTTAAATAAAAACTATTTTTAATGTTCTATTTAAAAACACAACCTTGACTTATAAGTTATAGTTTATAAACCATAAAAGTATTGGTTCATCCTTAGCATAAAGTCAGAACTTGAAATTGTATTAAAAACGACTTGGGTGTTTGTTAGTTGTTTCTCAATTAAGTCATCAGTAGGCGTTAGTCTTCTTGTTTGATATGGCTCTCGTTGTTGGTTCAGCTCTTGGATATACCAAGGCAAACTTTCTTCTGTGATCTTGACCAAATATGCTGGTCTGTGCGGAAGAACAGAACAATGCCAAGTGTTTTTTGGTATAAACACTGTTGTCTTCTTGGAACAACATGGAAGCCTCTTCGATAAAATGAACATTCTTTTGATCTTGCCAATATTGACTACAACAACACCAGAACGCTTATATGATGCAGCAATGATTTTTTTGCTTTGCTCTATAATGCTCCCAACACTAATTTAGTATGACGATCTATGGAAACATAAATATGCTCTTTCGGCTCTTCTTGTTCTCTTAGAACTTGTCGTGATCTGCCATCACTATCACTATGTTATCTCATTTAAAAATCAATTCAATTTGAACTTCGCTGTCTTCAGTTACTGTAAAATTGGCTTCAATTGATCTTTAATTGTCAGAGTATTCAGTAAGTTATTGTTTTAACCACTCAAAATACACAAGCCAAATCGTGAGACGAAT